TTGATCGTGACAGCAATGCCCTCGGTAGAGGAAGATTCACGAACAGAATTGAGAACATTGGAAGCTACCCAGAGAACGACACACGAGGTTTGAAAGGGGTCCGTTGGTGCGCTTGTTCGCCTGGTGAGTCGCGGTGTACGGTAAGAAACACAGGTCACCAATAGAAACTGAGATGCATCACGTACGTGACACAAAGACCAATCTCTTGACCATTCCAAGTGGTCATCATCCGCTGTACTAAATACATCTTTAAGAAATCGTTGTTTGGGACACTCATTTGTCTTTTAATATGATATTCAACATTGCTGCATTTACCATCTATTCTACTTTTTACCCCGATACTGCTGTATTTACTGAGTGTTGGTTGACGGAACCACACCGGGACTATCACGCAGCAATTGAACTGCGCAGGGAGTAACGCGACTGCCGGAAACGATCGGCCATAAGCATCAGATACGAACATGGACAGACACCGGTTACCACATAATGCAAAACTTGTGACAACACATCCATGCGTCTATTCGTCACAGCTAAAAGAATCCATCACATTGAATTGAGAAACTATCAGGAAGGAAAGCATCAGCTTGATTGGAGAACAAAACACCGCGGTTGTATGGCACCTACTTTTTCGCGTATCATAGTGACTAAGTGTTTGTCCTTCTTCAATCGATGATCGGTCACTTGCCGCACCAAGATCTTTCAGTGTTGAAATGCAATACATTGAGAAAAGTTGCATTTGCATTTTCGAAAAAAATTGCAAAATTTCAACGAACAAAGCGCTTTCAATAACTAATAACAAAATTCAAAAGAGGAGAAATTTCTCCTCATTGTGAATTTCTTTTTAAAGGGAACCGGTTGAACAGGCGAATTCAGGAATAACATGGGTTCACAGAATTACAGCAGCGCAGAAACCATTGGTTACCTGTTGTGATTCGTACTAGCACTGTAAACCCGTATGCGTGTCAAAACCGGATGGTAACAATCCGGCATAATACCAGTACTCTGAATGAAATCAGAATGTAGTACGCAATAACCAAATATTACTGTAATATGCGCCAAACGGGACTGCATCAGGATATTGTGTTTGATGAAAACAAACGAGTTTATAGTCTATTTGCAATCCCTACATTTCCTTCGTGCGATCCATAAGTATACACGTGATATGGAGAAAGGAATTCCAGTATCAACTAATACCTGAAGGATGCACACAATTTCGAACGGCTAATGGGGTAAAACAGCACTGCAAAAGAACAGTAAGCAGTACTTGTGAAGGGTGTCAAAGTAAAACTTTTATGCGTAGCTGCATATAGGGCCGAGCAGACCACAAAAAACTGCTGGGGCGCAATAGAGAATTAGGGGATCAATGCATTACCGGACAAGTGTAGATGGAAGTCTGACGAACACGAAAGTGTCTGAGTTTGCGAATCCAAAAGAACGGACGGTGAAATTCACACTAATTTCTATGTAGGACAGTGCGGTGAAAGCTGCTATTTAAAATCAACGTGATATATTTAACTGAAGTACTGAGCCTGAATGGGAATCTAGAACGCGACAGAGTGAAGGCAAAGTCCAGATTTTTCGAAAGGCTAAGATGAAGAATATCGGATTCTGTTGAAACTTCTAACACAAGACCACCTGTTTCGCGTATTGCGAAAGAAAATCGGGATAATTAATTGTAACAACCTTAATGCATGCAAATGGAAATCAAGATCTAACGATATTTTGAACTAGGTCTGATTCATCTGTTGTGGGACGAAACAGCACAAACCATGCTTCCTCAACACGGCGAAGAATAATCTAGGAGACATGCTAAGCTTCATCATTCCCATTAATTTTGACTCCTCCATCTTTAAACAATGAATACTTTTCTGCAACGGACCACAACTGTCATGTTACCATCTCTAATAAATCCCCCGAATGATTTAATCACGCATGTCATCGTGCTGTACGCCTATAGCACTCAGCATCTCACGATCGCTTCGTGCAAGCTAGGAAAAGATGCTCGACAACCGTACAGAGAACCAAAGAACGTTTCGTCCGCTGCCAGGCCGAACACTAGTCCAGTCCGCTATCGGTAGCCGAACATTTTGATCTTTTGCTAAAACAATTTCCCGCACTTCCCCNCCCCCCCCCCTACCGACCTATAGCTCCTCAGGTAATCTTGTACGACAAACAAACGAGAACGCTGACGATTTTGCTTCCTAGTTTGCCACCAACTCCAGCTTACTCATTTACACTACTCTTCCATCTTATCTCACTGGCAATCCTTTCGTACCTCATATTAGCACTGGGAAGATCCGCCAAATATTGCGCCTTCAAAACATAAGCAAACCACCCGGTTCGGAAACTACTTCACCGGTCGTCCTCAAACCATGGGCTCCCGAGTTGGCTACTGTTCTGAGTCAACCTTTCTACTTTTCCCGCCTCTTGGAAACGCCGTGATTTTCTCGTTCCCGAACGAGATGGCCCAATAGTTAACGACCTATTTCCCTCACAAATATCCTACCGAGTATTTGGAATCATCTTAGACTAACTGCGGGCGCTACTTGAACGTGTAGGACCACTAGATGACCACCGTTAGGAATCACGGCAGCGTCAGTCCACCACCACCGATGATGTAGTGGCTCTTGTCACAATCCTGGTCGGCTGCATTCAACAATCAAGGAGAAACACACTTGGCTTCCCTTGATATCTCACAAACGTTCGATCGAATTTGGCACGATGATCTACTGGTGAAACTACTCATGTTCGGGTACGTTCCGATTCTTGTCGTGCGGACCAAGTTTATTCAATAAGCGAACCATCTCCGAGCTGATACGGTTTCACCTTACTCGTCTTCCCTGTGAATCCCTAAGATCCAATACTTGCACCCAACCTCTTTCTTTTATTTATTATTGATCTAAATTCCAATTCCGTTAACCCAATCACCTATATTATCGATGACAAGACTCTTGACAGTTCCTCTTACTGGAACTTCTGTCCCCTAATCACCTACAAATACATCGAGTTATCGTTAAACATTGCGGACATCTGACGTTTTACTTCTTCATTTTAATCGTCTTTTTGCCGAACTGAAAGGTTATGGAACACTACCCTGATCCGCACCTTTCCATCAATTTACAGGCATCCGCTCTTTGAGTAAACAATCGATAAGTTGAACCTTACTTGTGTTCCCCTATTCTTAATGTCACATGCTTTTTGACCATGCGGATTTTTTAATACATCTGTGATGAACAGCAAAGGGAAGCAACCGCAGTCACGAAGCCCTAATGTTCAGTGATGGAAATCGGGACTTCGATTCCCGAACCACACGAGGCCTCATTAGGTTAGACGTGGTATTGAAACAGATGACAGCAAAGCTGCATACCATCAAAGTTGGATGGGGAAGGCAGGGATCGAACCTCGGACCAAAGCACGCCAGTGACAGCGACCAACCCACTGAGCCGCGACCAAATAATCTTACTTCTACTGCGTTTCCCATTGATATGGCTGGGTGTCGTAAACAGTGGCGTTCTTGCATCTTTTCAATTTCGTTGCAGCCATAGTTTACTGGAGTTCTCAATTTTCTCTTCGATTCTACCTTCAACTTTCCTGTCCTTCTCCTATTATTCATCCAAATGGGCAGCCAAACGACAGCAACCAAAACCGATTCACGAAATTGCATGGTTGATGATTGTTGAAACCGAACTGAACTGTTTCACATTGTCTAAAATATCGGAAAACAAGCGGCTCTGAGCGTCATTTTGAGTAAACGCCACTCAGAGCACACTTCAATAATCCAAGCTGCACCACGACGCACGTGCCTCCAAAGGAATTCACCATCATTCAACATTCTGTTCAACCCGACAGTCCGGAAGAGTTCCGTTATTGTAAATGCGATGCAGTGCAAACAAACAAAACCGGAGCCAAATAAGCAACCAACTCAGCTACCAATGAAGCCTATTATACATCTGCTTTTATGTGAAAATGAATCCATAAGAAAAGGAATACGCCCGCCTGGTTCTTGTGCAGGTGAGCCATCCGTACCATGGATAGATCACGGATTGAATTATTGATCACAAAAGCCTTCGTATTATTACTTGTTTCAATGACTGAAATGAGGCACGTGTGCAATGTTAATATGATCGCCGGAATGTCGCTAAACGGTACAAAGATTCGTGGGATTCGAGTGGCGGTGAGAACTATTCTTTTAATCCGCTGATACATTGAACAGACAGATAGGATACCACACAAGTCGACTGTATCAATCACTACAAAGTAACGGATACATCATACAATGATTACCTTGTTTGCTATCGGTTCGCCAAAAAAAGCTAATGGTGACTGAAACTGATCCGGGAGGAAAGGAGCGAGAAGACTATCATCTGATAAACTGGTATATTTTTAAGATGCAAGTACAAGTGTGTAAAACATAAGTGGCTCGAATCCAACAACGAATGCACAAAACGCTTGAAGTAAAACCTCACTATCTGGAAAAAGAAAACAAAGGGTGGAAACTGATATTTTCGTTTACAGAGATGGAAAGTGCTTCAATAACACATTCTAAGCAGTTTGATGTCAATATCATGTTTCCTCACACACACACATACCCCACTCTGTTCAGCGAAGACAAACGCAAGGCATCAATAAACATCGCTGAGAAACCTTGATTAAGTGGTTTCTTATGAGGGGAATTACGTGAATAAAAACCGAGAGATCGAGAGTTATACATGTCACGGAGTTGACCATTTCAATGAAATCAGTGTCCATATTATTTTTTTTACTGGAGATACTTGTGTGTATTTTACAAAAAAGCGGCCGACTTTATTTACTAACGAAGTTGTACTGGTCACAAATTTTAATCAACGATTATCTTATTAGCAAATGAGCACTATTCACCGTTGAAAAGAATTCCTAAACTTGCCCTGTTGTTTCTTCTGAAAATCTAAACACCGATGCAAATAAACAGGGCAATAACAGAAACACTAAAACACTCACCTCGTGGTTTCACTTTTAGCAGACTAGGAATTCTCCTGGATGGATTGCTCCGATTTCTCTGTTACCTCTACAGTATCTTTGCCAATCACACCATTGAGGAGCTAAAAGGAACAAATTGGGGGGAAACGGGCAAGTTGATCAACAACAAATTCGGTGGGAATAAGTTCCACCGACAACCTATCGTTGTAATTGGGAAAGCGGATTCGCGAACATCAACGGAAACAATGCATACTCATCCTCGAGCATGAAAATTCGGCGGGTTTATTGTATGCATTTGCTAGGGCAATATGGTCAAATGTTACTACAGTGCATGTATCTACTCGAATGACGTATTTCATATAACCAATAGGGCAAGTTCGTAACTAGAGTTCACTTCGATTTGAGATATCTTGTTTCCGATCCTGTGCTCTAAAACCTGTTTACAACACTGGAGTTTTGTCACAACGGTACTAAACCCTCTAACCTGATCTGACGGAGGACTGGAAAAGGGGGCTCAGAAACAAAAACTAACCTTCTCATTCTCGGGTGTTTGGGCTTCTTCTGTAGGTTTTAGGACGACGACTGCTAGTTTGGTGACTTCGGAAGCTAGAGACTCATTGAAAGAAATCACTGACTCTTCTGTTTCCATGGCTGTTTCTGTGGCGTCAGACTTTGATGACTAAAAAATATGAAAAAAGGAAATTGTTCATGCACAGTTGCGGATGAAAATGACGTTTATTCTGGCGATTATCACTGCAATGCAGGGAACGAAGATAAACAAAAGCTCAAAACATGACTTATAACAATGGGTACTGTAATAGCTGAAAATCGACGACGACAGTCTTAACATGAACAAGAATAAGAGAAACACCATATTTATGAACGCGCGAGTATGATCAGCGTATCCGCAATGGATGTCTTTTTTGAATGACAAATCATTTCCCTAAAGTCGGATCCATTTACGACAGGAGGTTTAGAAAGATGAAATCGACCTGGCTATCGCACAATAGCAAGCAGGAATATTCAGCTTTATAATGACCACAACGGATTTGTGTGGGCATTATGACTGAACATTGTTCCCTATCCAATTTAAATTAACGGACATTAGTCCATACAGTGCATTTTAAACGATATACACATGCATTTGAAATATAAATTACGTCTTTTTGTGCTTCCACAGATTCTATCTGAGAATCAGATTTAGTTGCTGCCGGAGTGTTGGTGCTTTTTGGTGAAGCTCGGACACCGCCACTAGGTGTTTTTGATTCTGTTGTCGATCCGGTGGTCATTGGCCTTTTTGATGAGGAACTACTCTCAGCACGGCCCCGCAAGCGGTTCGATGCTTGACGAAGAGCGACACGAGCGGAGTCCAAATTGTTAATTTGCTGTTCAACCACTCGGTTTGCGGCATGCATTTGTTCCCGTTCGTGTTTCAAACGCTTTCTCAAATCGGTCACGTTAGAGTTAGCGGATTCCAACTGTTTACGAAGATTTGGAATTTGGTCCGTCAAAGTTCGTAGACGTGCTGAAATGCCAGAAAAAGGAGAAACAAAACGGGTCATGAAGGATGGGAATTTCAATCGATTACTAGTTTGTGCTGTATTCCACGACTATAGCTTCGCAATCGAACAAGTAACGCCGAGAGAATATTGTTCACCGAAAGAAATGAGTTCATTTTCTGAGGATTACGTTGGATTAGACATTTGTTGCGTCCGTCACTTTGGCAGGCTTCCTCAACTAGCGATGTTTTCGAGGTAGGCATAGCGTGAAAAGACGACAAGCGTGTTCTAACTATACCTCAGCATAGGGTAGCAAAATCCTCCATTGCGTTACTTGATCATACAGACAACGTTCCGTTTCAGGGTTAGGAACATCGAGGTTAGTGACACTGACAGTGGTATGGTTGATTATCATCAAACGTGACGCTCGTGTATTAAGCCAGGTCTGTGAAAATTTGGTTTAACTCAAACGAAACTTTGTACTGATTCCTGCTTTCAAATTCTTCTCAATACGCTGCATCAAAATCGACAGGCAAACGACAGCAACCATACAGCAAGAGAAACTATGTGAACTTCGGGATTTGCATGAAACAAACCCGTTATATTCGGTAATGAAGCGTAAAACTATTCTGGTTCGAACAGTAAACAACCACACATTCCTACGGCGGTCTTCGGCTAGTTTTCTTTAGCTGCCAATTTGGACGGGATAAAAAAAACATTTAAATGCTGAAGGCAGCAGCAAAGTAAAAAACAGGAGATTCATATAGACTAAAATTGCAATATATACCTAAATTTCGTCCAGTCATTCACACTACTTATTGTGAACTATATGTATATATATTCACGGCTTTTGGGCAAGCGTGCTGCCAACGGGACTTTAGCACTAAAAGAGCAGACTATATTTTAAAAGTAAAAACAACCATCAATATATGGTGTGTGCTTTGCACTATCCAAGTGCAGTGCTTGTACAAGACTGGCAGGAGCCCGTGTCTCCACTTACTCTTTGTGGTGATTAGCTGTAAGTAGTTACGAGATCTAATTAACCCGGGAACTTGATCACAGATGAAGGTGAGGTAGGGGGAAGAGATCAAATCATGAACGGCAAAGACAAGAATAGTTTTCACCAACTTGGGACATCTGTGGAGTGGCCAACACACGACTGTCCCTAAAGGATGGTTAAAATCGCCGCGGTTCGTAGTGTTCCGCTTTACGGTTGCGACCTCTCCGAGTGGAAGATACTGATCGACTTTCTGCATTCGATCACCGATGTCTCCGAAGCATTTCTCATTTCTGGTGGGAACATCGGGTAAGCCATGACGAAGTTCGTCGTCGTGTTCTGGGTGCGGACAGTCGTTCCCTAACAAAGTAATCACTCTACACCCACCTCCAACTACTTAGTCAGGTTTTGCCTATCTACCTTTCGGGACTGGAAATGTTCTGGCGGTCAGACCTGGTGTAGAGGTATGCAGAAATCAGTCTCAGCACTGAGTTCGAGGGTGCAGCTCGTCTTACAGATTGGGGTCTAAGGAATGAGCACTGCTTCTGGTAAGAGATACCCAGGAATATAGCTCAGAACAGAAATCAGCGGCGAGAATGATGGGCGGTTTGTGTTGAAACACCATGCCCCATAATAGACGAAATATGCATGGTGAGACTATCCAAAAACGGTTCGCCGTTCATCTATCCATTTATCTATCTACCCACCGTCGGTGATTGAATACAGCGACATGAAAACCTCTTTTAATCCCTGAGTTGGCAATCAGTTTTAAATAGATATATTGTATATTATTATACCTTCTGGTTGCCTTCGAAGAACAAAATGCACTAAGTGACGGAACATGGAATTCTACCACTAGCGACTGTGACAATATCATAACGTATATTTCCAGTTTTCCCAATTCCAAACAACAGTCAATGACATGGACATCAATTGATAAATTTTGAAAATGATAGAAATTTCGAGTCGTTTGGGTGCTCCCCAAATAAGTAAGGAAAATGAGCCCATGGTGTACTAGGAACAAAACGGACTAAACAAACCAATTTCTCCTACCGATCTCATCCATTTTGGTCTTCATTTGTTTAAACAGCTTCGTTTTTTCCATCTCGAGACCCCTCAAGCGTTGGGCGAACTCCGTTGTACTGGGAACTGTAAGTTCAGATGAGGTAGTCACTGCGTTGGATTCCGATTCGGAAGTACCAGGTGTGTGGAACACCAACACACTGACCAGGGTGAATAGAATAACGTACTCAAGTAGTTAGATACCGTCAAGCGAAACATATAACGATACTGAGTTTGACGTGCACACGGAGAACGTACAATCATAAGACTCAGAGCAACTCTCTAATAATGTACAACCATAAAGGACAGCCAACAACGTCTGCTAACTGCGGTATGGTTATAGGAAACGTGTTTTAATTCTGGCCAAAGAAGTTACGAAAAAAGGAAGTGATCAGGCACTGAGTAGCTCAACGATTCACGCGTAGTACGATGCTCTAGTGTTGCACGAGAACTCAAAAATCAAAGTGTGAAAAACTGCGGTTACGCACTTTTAAAATCTCAGCACACTTCAAGGGTATTTATAAAGATCGAATGGAGAACGACCAATATGTGGAAGATTGAAGAGAGGGTTAACCATATGAAGCTCAGTAGTAAAAAGTCACTGGACTGTCCCGGAAGTAAACATATCTTACACCACATGTAGGACGCAAATATTAAGCAAACAGTAACCCACACTAACCTGCCAGTAGGAAGCGCATTTTCTACTCCTTCCTCGAGTACGGCATCACCACCACGAATCAATTCGAGCAAATATTCGTCGTCGTCGATTTCAGAATAAGTGATTTTCGATTTAGCTGTGGTCGGAGTTATTTCAGCATCGGTCAATGATCGGTAGTGAATACGCCCGTCATCTGACACTTTTGTAACGAGTGAACGAATCTGACAAAGGAAAGAGAAAAGATAATAGAACTATACACATGGATATATTGGATAATGAAATTGCAACAAATAGCATTAGGTGAGCAAAGTAACACTAGCAAGAAACCCCCACGAAAATGCAATATATTCCCGAGAACACATGGGATGCGTGTAAAGTTGCAATAGACCAAGAGAAAGAAAATAGCTTCAGCATTCATACGCAGGATAAGAAAACTGAGAAGACTGGAGGGATTGAAGACCATGAAGTTGGATCGAATGAGATCGGTCATCCCTGAGCCTGTTACATGAGGTTTCCTCGTGATTGAACTGACAAACCATTGCTGATAACTGACCTTAGTGAATCACAATTTGTCAACTGTTGTTTCTTCAGTTTTCTCATCAGCTCGTGCACTGATGAAGACGCTAAGGTTTATCTCTGTCGTTGGTGGTCGAAATTCGGCACATCACAGACTTCAAATTATTGTTTGTGGGGATACTCGCGACTACTACACACACCGCAGTATGATGAACAGCAAACGCGTAAATCCCGTAGTCAGGAGGGCCTGGTGATCAGTAATGGAGACCGGCAACCTAAGCCCCGGAACTTGGGGTGATAAGCCACATGATGACATATCAGTGTCTACTTTATTACGCACCCTGAGTCCGCGAGGACCAAACCGGGTTTAATGTATGCGGTGGTTGCATTGATCACAATCACATCACTCAAATGCGTTCCACAGACTTTGTTTCCCTTCTTGGACTGTCTTTAACTTCTTCTTTATGCTGGCTCCCTTTTATGGCTAAGCTTGCTTCTCGTCCTGCGCGCAAGGTTGAATTTCTATTACGCGCCAGATGTCTTCTCGCCCGAGCTCATCTACTATTGTGCAAAGCTCAGGTCCTCCCTGCTCTTGAATACTGTAGTCACGTTTGGGGTGGAGCTTCGTCCTCTTTCCTTTCCCTCTCTGATCATGTTCAACGGAGGGCCATTGGGTTAATCGACGATCCATCCCCAACATCCAGTCTACAGTCGTTAGCCCATCGTCGGGTAGTTGCTTCATTGTTCCTGTTCTACCGCTACTGCTTCGGTTTTTGTTCTTCGGAACCTGCTTCCGCAGTTCCTCTTTCTGCAACTTTTACCCGCCCATCCCGTGCACAGGCATCCAGTCATCCTTATGAGGTTTCTGTTCCCAAATGTCAAATCTCTTTGATCTAATTTTCTTTTTTCCGAACTTCCAAGCTGTTTTTCCCCAACTTACAATACTACACTTTTGAAACGCAGAATCAATAAATTGGATCCAACGTGTGTTTTCATACTCTTCCTTTGACAGTACGCTATTTGTCTACGGGGGATCTCCCCTTTTACAGTAATTTACATTGTGTAATAAAAAAAGAAAAAACAAACCTGGTATCGTGAAACCGGGAGTCCCAATGAGGCGATTAGTCCTTCCGCTTCATAGCCATGGAAATAACCGCGAGAGTTTATATCCAGCAATGTGCATGCGAAAAGAAGAGGAACGTCCACTGTGCATCGTACAGGTACTTCCGGAGAATCTAATGACCTTTCACTCTTTGAATCAAGTCGACTTTCGCTAAAAACAGATTGCAGAAGTTAATAATGAGGACCGCTGAAATGATGCGCATTCGAAAATAGAATGCGCTAAAAGCCGGATAAAACAAATCCAGGAATTGTAATATAGGGGGGAAGTGATGTCTCAATCAAGTTGTTCAAGTCTAGAATAGAACGAGAGCATTCGTTGCATAATCAAGCTGTAAGAGTATCGGGAACACTGTGCCATGAACGATTGCTAAAGTACAATAAATAGAATCACATAGACTGTAAACACTAACCTTCGAGTTGCGGCCTTCGCTTGAACACCGCGATCACCAGCGGTCACCAGGGCACGGAAGAGAATAAAAATCGCATCGCGATGCAGCATTTCGAGCATGGTATGCGCACAAAACATCAACTCGAACGACTGCGCGTCTATTTTCGGTGCTACTTTTGGCTCCAGCAAATCCTAAAACACAAACAAAGCCGCAATCGTACTGTGCTTGACGTGACAATGGATAAATTGTTGGTTGAACGATCTTCCCTCTATGTGCAGACGTCTTCTACGACAACTCTGCTCAGTCAAAAATGATCACACTCAAGAAACGCCTTATAAAAGAGTATCTTTAAATGCGATTGCTGGTGTTCATCACCTCTTGGTAATTAATCTTGAGAATTTACCGAAATGAATAACCTTCAGGTCAAAACAAGTCTTTCTAATGATGTAGCTAAAAATATCTTGCATAAAGCAAACAAAACCTAGACCATAGTCCTATGCAATCTTAATTTACAATTGAATTAGGTCGCAAATTGCTGGAAAGAACAGCACGATTCCTCATATTAGTTGAGTCAGTGGTAAAGAGGAGCCTGACAGCAAGACAATTATTTTCAACCCCGCTTGTTTTCTGGCGGTTTTCAATGATACACTTTGGAATCCACACCGAGGTGAATTTTCTCAACTTACAGTATAGTGAATAAACAATCTTGATTTGGTTTGATGAAGTGACCTTGTTTCAGTTATGCCACTTTCACACCGGATGTATTATGGGTGACAATCAGTGGGAATATCGCACAAGTTTCAACAGGATAGACTAGTCGGTTTTCCGAGCTCTTTGCAAATTGTTTCCGAGAGAGCAAAGCTGTACGCTACCGAGCGCGTCCCTAGGTCGCGAATAGGGGAACGGCCATCATCTCGCTGCTAACCATGAATAAGGTGGGCTTAGGCACCCCGAATAAGCGGTCGCGGACGATCAGCGGCAACACTTGAGGATGTGGTAGGTAAGGGTTCTCCGCACAAAACACCACACATATCTGTGGATAGCGCTGTGACGTGGCGAGTGTGGCCCGCCAATAAGTATGTCGCAATCTGTTATTCGATAAGGTTTTCCAGAAGAGGCAAATGAACTAAACACTGTCCACCGGCTCATCTGGAACATCACTCTTGCCTTGCAGTCAGCGCTTGCTTGCGCAAAGGCTAGACTGCACCCTCGAAAAAGGCTCATTCCGGACCGGGTGACTGAGAGTAGTACAACAACCCACGAAGCACACAACCACAAACTTTCCTTCTCTTATGGTTCTCAACTCTGGAGCAGACATTCAATCAAGAGATGAAGCGAAATCTTCCTACACCGTATATACCCTTATGTTTCCGCAGTGTTCCCCCGTTTCGTCTTCACCCCCTTCTAGACGACGAATATCTTCCATTCGTAAATTTAGGGTCTCGCAACCATACAACAGAACTGGCCGCACACTGGCGCGGCACACGCGATCTTTTAGTTTCAATGAAACATCGCGTCTGCATCAGAGGTGTTTCAATCTTGCGTAAGCTGCTCGAGCCTTGAAAATGCGGGCGGTTACTTCATTGATTATGCTACCGTCATCNGTGGAGTAGACAACATCCAGTCTTATAGCATCACTTCGCACTGAGGGTGCAAAGCGCATGCCGAAAGAAGATACAGAACTTGTTAGTCTGTCAAGAGCGCATTGCGCCTCTTCCATAGATTCCAACAGGTATACGATGACATCAGCGTACTCTAAATCGCAAGGCTTTTCTCCAACTGTCCATTCAATACCTAGGTTTTGGAGACCATTAAGTGCGTTCTCCAGTACTTCGTCTACGACGAAATTGAACAGGAATATATATATATATATATATATATATATATATATATATAT